GATTAAGCCGCCAGATGGCAACAGCAGGGATAAAATTTGATGTATTTTAAGCAAAATTGGTATATATATTTGTGTGTGTACGTATGTATTTACACACATACACATACAGATACACACACAAACACACATACATATATATACATAGATATATATGCACAATATCAATATATGTATGTATATATATATATATTATATATATATATATGTGTGTGTTGTGTGTGTGTGTGTGTGTGTGTGTGTGTGTGTGTGTGTGTGTGTGTACATATATATATATATATATATAATATATATATATGTATGGTATATGTATATATATATATATATACATTTATATACATATATATGTATATACATAACATATTCTTTTTTTTGTCTGTATCGCTTTGGAGTATCCTCCAGAACTGCAGGGTGTATCGGAGTGTCGAATTCTGTGGTACTGATTATGCATTAGTTGTGGCTATCCTCGGAGTCCATTTCCATACTCCCTGTCGGTCCAATGATCATCCTATGGTGTTTCAGGAGGATAGGATTACGGGAGGATATCATTGGTCGTTTTCCAGTTCACATAACCTGATGGACCCTGTACTCTTGGTGAAAGCCCAAGAGCAAGACAAAATCTCATCTTGCAAGATACACTGGAAGCTACAGATCAGACTGTCACTTGCATCATTCTCTCGTGCGCACGACTCGGTCACTGCTGAGAGGAGACAAGGAACAGTTAATCACGAATTTTGAGCTATTTCATATGAAATGACCTTATACCAAGCCCTCAGAAAGCTGAACTCCAAGCCTTTCTCTCGGACGACTGCAGACACTTGAATCACCCAATAAATTCAACTGAAATCCATCATAGCAACACCTGCTATGCAAACCGTTCAGTAAAGGATCATGGGTATGTATACCATTTGATAAACCCATATTCATACTTATAAGAGAGAAAGCCAATGGCTTTACCGGAAAGAGGAAGTATAGGTGTTGATAAACGTGAGCTACATTTACATGATTTCGACTATTGTGTATTTAGCAAAATCAACATTCGTTCCTCTGGCAATATTTTATTGCGAACGTCTCGCCCATAACCCCTTCAGATGAGGAGAATGACTACCCTTGCCTGCCCCTTTTGATTACACAGTTTTACCGAACGACTGAACATCGGCCCAGGTGAAATAGTTTACAAAACCTTTGTCAAGGGTGTTTGATATAACATTTCAAATCAAAAATTATTTTAAAAACTGTCAGGATATCATAGAAAATAAGATTGATATCTTATCGTGTTGAAATGTTTCGCGCAAGGTACAACACATAGCACCTGAAATGACGATAATAAATGCCCTGTTTGAATAATTAAGAAATGGGCACCATGTATAATAGGAAGTTCTGTGTAAATTACTGGATTATACCTGCAACAAACTGGACAAACTATAGCCAATGAAAACCTCAGTAAATTCTGACGTCATTTTTTGTGACCAATAAAAACTCATTTTTGGGGAAATCTGTGCACTCGGCCATAAAAAGACTTGAGTGCGTGTCTGCCACTGTGTGAAAAGGTATACGTGTGAAATATTGATGT